GGGATATTGAGGAGTTTTGCGTAAACCCTAAGCTAAGTCATAAATTTCACTACATTTAAAGAGATACTTGTGAAGTTCAAGTACTCTAAGGTTAATGAAGTGGAAAGACTTCAATACCGTTGGCATGTGTTATGATTATTGCCAGGCAAGAAAATCAAGTCAAGCTCACATGATGTGTAGTGAATCGAAAAGAGACGAGTCTTTGGTGTATTGTACCCAAAGGGAACTCACTAGATGAACCAAAAGGCAACCTATTAATGGATTGCATTTATGGTTGATGGGGGGCAATACTTGGAAAACATCCAAGTAGAACTATATATCCACTCTAAGACCGGTGAAGTTCAATAATTTGGCCTGCAAAGATTGGCGTTAATAAACACCTTTGTGCACAATATTATTGATTAATTCATTTCTAGCGAAGTTATCGGAGATGATCATTTAGATCAAATGATAACAAACGTGAGGTCTACCTAAAAATTAATTAAAGCATCGAAGGGAATGGACTCGTGGCCTAGGAAAAATCATCATGGCGGTAACTCTACCTAAGCAGGATTGGCAGACCCAACCTCTAGGTTAAAGGAGCAAACAAAGTTGTGAATGATGGTCCGACATTGTCAAATTATTCAAAGTCCATTCTCATGATGAGACAATGTCCAACTATAAGGGTAAACCTAAAGATGGAAGGTTTTTAATGGTTTCTAAGTTTGACACGTGATGTGATCAAATAGTGTATTTTAGGAATACATGTTTAGAAATCACCTATGTGAGTGTGAAGTGGAGCCGCTTCAAGGAGAATAAAAGAATGCCAGTTCTCTAAGACTCATGAAACCAGGCAGTGTTCATGGCTAAAACGAACACAACAATGAGAGCCAATGAACGAATAAGAGACACTACAGGAAAAAGATCCTTTGATCACGGGAAATCCCGTGTTCGAAGGTGTGTTTCCCGTGTTTAATAGTTTTTGTCACGGTAAAATTACCGTAATATATACCTCCGTGTTTAATTGTAAAGGGCACGGGAAATTTGTACCGTGACTAGTTATAACTAGTCACGGTACAAATTTCCTGTGATAATTTGTACCTATTATTCACGGTGAGCCCCGTGACTAATACCAAATCCAGCCAATCAAAACCGGGGAAAAAACTCATTTAAAGACGGGATGTACACTTTTAACACGGTATATACCATGACAAAACCTTTTTCTCGTGACTGAATGCTCATAATTAGTCACGGTATATTGTTAATTCTCCTGTGTCTAGATACTATCATTTCGTCATGGTATATGGTTGATTCTCCTGTGTCTAGATACTATCATTTTGTCATGGTAATTCTCCTGTGTCTAGATACTATCATTTCATCACGATATTTTACAGCTAGTTACCAACAACTAATCACAGTACTTCCCATGATACATGATCACTAAAGTCTATATTTTCTCTAATCAATTATACCTAGATTTTTTCTTTTCAGTGCTCGGCGTTGAAACTTGCAATATTGGTAGCCTGATCAATGAAATGAAAATAAAAAGTAACGTCACAAATGATAAGTCACCACAAATCATGTATCTTCATATCCAAAACAAAAAGTCATTACAAATGATGACCCTTAATGAAATGAACACTATGAGCTTTTACAAGAATTTGTTAGCTCCTCACAAGAATAAGTATAGCCTTCACAAACCAAGTATCAATTTTCGTATAGCCTCCTCACAAGAATTTGTTAGTTACTCCACCTTATTTGCAAAAAGTCAAACACATCATTAGCTATCGACTGGTGCAAGAAATAATCTTTGCTCCATGGGACCACTATAATTTCATATATACTAAGTGTATCAAGGAAAAGAAAGTGAGGGGACAAGCAAGATGAGTTCATATATACATAACTCGTTATTGGTTTTGGTACTGAGTGTTTGAATAAATAATAAATCAGAATGTTTGATCTAACTAATTCTTAAATGAGAGTTCTTTTTCCTACTGCTATTACCTTTGTATCTTGCAGTGCCTTCTCAACCACAGTTCCTAGGCAACTTGGATTAGCTAATTAGTGTTCAATAGATTATCAACCACATGTTTCATAATCTTTGTGGAAATTAAATACTTCTCAACCACATGGCTACTGCCTTTTTACATCAATGGCCTTTCTTCTGGCGGCAAATCTCCCTATTGCAGCAGGGGTTCTCTAGTGGCAACATATTCATATCAAATAGTTGCTGGAAGAAAATACGAACAACAGATAGATGAGATGGCTGCAAAGGGAGAAAGTATACTCATAAAGAAATCGAAATAAAGGGATGGACTCCAATACTAACCCCTACCTGAAACTAACCCCTACCTTTGTAAGCTTTACTTAATCTTTAGACTGAAACTAACCCCTACCTGAAATAAGAACCAATCACAAGTCATTGCCCTCTTCTCACTATAATTCAGTTGCAACAGCTGGTCACTATCATGGCTTCCCAAGCTCAATTCAACCGAATAAAGATTACAACTCTGCAAAAGAAGTTTCCTTCTTTCAGCTGCAGCTGCAGTTTAGAAAAGAGAGAACCATGAATCAGACTCTTAAAATATCTTATCAAACCCACAATTCAAATTCCAAAAGAGTTAAAGCCAGAGAATTTATTTCTGGTACATATGAAAGAAATTCTAAAGCCATAATTCATTTATATCCTGAAGTGGCAGATTAAACACTAAACTAAAAACGTAATAAGGCAATCTTTCATGTATCTGTTATCTATACAAAGCAAGACACCTGGACTGATTCAATGGAAAACTAATGAATGACCAGCAGGAGAAGGAAGAAACAGCGCATGTCTTTATAGCCTAAGCAGTGAGAAGCACATGTCTTTAAAGGACAAGAGTTGCTAGTTGTTCTATTCTTGTAGTTTCAGCTAAAAAACTCCAAAGAGGAAATTAACAAGACCATCTAAGATAGTTAACCAGAGAGGAAGGGTTTATTATGCTAAATGAAACTCACCAATTCAACTTCTCATCCAATATTTAAATGTTGTACTGATCACCGAAATTCAAGCAAACCACCCCATAGAATGCAGACCAAATGTCAATACCTTGTATCTCTGAAAAGTGTTAGCCAGGGGAGAATCATAAGTAAACAATATATTCTCTTCTCCACCCTTGGTTCATGCACAGACTCATCATCTTGTACCTCTTCTCACACCTGGACAGATTCATAAATAAGCAGCCTTAAGCCCATTTACAATCAGATATCCCAACTTTCCAACTCACAAGCATCATTCATCTAAGAAAAATGTAAAATGCTACTTTAGCAACTCATAAAAGGAGAAAGTACAAGTAAGAGATCGACATGGAAGCAACATAGGTGCATAACAATTCTAGGATGCGAACTCATGCATGCATATCTAGCAGTTCCAGCCAAATGGGTGTTGTACAACAATGAAAACAAATACATTAGCCATTTTCTACTCAACCCCATTACTTTTAGCATCTTGGTTTACTCCATGGAGGCCCTGCTCCGAAATCAATGACACAACATAATAAATTTGAAGGAGAAAAAGGAATTGAATGAATACCTTCATCCATTTCAAAGAGAAACCTGTGTTCCCTAAAAGCAAAGGGCTCCTCCCAACGTTTCTTCATCCTTTCAAAATCATTGAATGTTGGCACATAAACATTGGATTTGACGAGTTATTGTTGGGATGAATAGCTTTGAAAAGCTATAAATGAAATTCCTAATTAATTATCCAGTATTTTCCCATAATACATAGTTAAGATGGATAATTAATAAAAGGAATAAATACCGATCCCTTCAAATTCTAGAAAATCCTTCACAAATTACATACCTCTACTTACAGCTCAAGAAGACAAGAACCCTAAGTCTTAGACGTCGGCGATCCATACCACCACCAGATCACCTCCACGTCTCTCCCCTTACTGTCTTCCGACTACCACGCTACCAAGGCGCCGCACCAGTACCTTTCTCTCCAAACCGCAGATAGTCGTCACCGTGAATCCCCCTTTGGGCTCTTCCGTCGTCGATCGATCTTCCACAGCAACCATGACCCATCTTGGTCGCGTTGCCGCACAGCTCGCTTCGCTACCGCTGCGCCACCACCCACCTTTTTCGTTGTCGGTCTGCAACGCAAGCCACAACATCCCTAATCGCTTACCAAACCGAGCCGCCAGTCCACCTCCAAACTTGCCGTTGTCGTTCTCGATCGTCGCCAGTCTACCTCCAAACTTGAAACCCTAACCATAAACCCCCTTGAAGACGCATGCTTCTTCATCGATCTGTTTCGCCATGGAAGAGGGCATCAGATGGATCTATCTAACTTGCTAAGAAAATAGGATTTTGGCAGTAAGAGTTGGGGAAAGTTCGGAGAAATGGAAGGAACTAGTCGGGTGGAGAAAAAGGCAGGAAGAACAGTGAAAGCGCTAGAAAAAGTCAAGAGGCGAAAGGATTGGATTTCTTTATTCCCCTTTAGATCTAGTTTTCTCCATCAATCCATCTAGTATGCTAATTTTTTCAATTCCATGGACCAAAACAGTGGCGGGCAAAGCAAAATTATGGAGGCAGAGCAATTTTTTCGGGCAATGCAGATATTTTGGGAGCAAAAGCAGTTTTTGGGTGCCAAAAGTGGCGGGCAAAGCAAATATTTTGGAGCCAACACAATTTTTTGGGAGAAAGCAATAATTTTTGGAGCCAAAAGCAATTTTTTGGGGGCAAAACAAAATTTTGAGCTAAAGGAAACTCTCCCTCCTAAAATTTTGGAATAAATTTCTTATAAAATTAAATTGTTACATTATTCACCGGAATTTACCGTGATTAACAATTAATCACGATAAATAAACACTAAAATACAGATAAATTAGTTACCGTGATTAGAACTATATGATCAAATACGGGAACGTTTACTGTGACTATTAGCATACTTCTTAACACGGGAAAAATTACCATGAATAAGATCCCGTGACTAGAAATCGGTTTTCCTGTAGTGAGAGTTAGTTCTGTGGCATATGTTGTGTGAGAGAGAATTCTCTTGATTCATGTCGGCCTTGATTCTTCAATTTTTTCTGATATTATTATGGCATCCATTCCTATGGGATGTAGTTTGTATGTGTTTCTGAGCTATGTGAATTTCGTTTACATATAGCAGCACCTGAATGTTGTTCTACACAATTGATCGATGGAGAGGGTGAGTTTAATGTCATTGGAATAGAAAACTTCATTAAGGAGGTTAAATTAGCGGAATGCGGACTCTCATATGCTGTAGTCTCGATCATGGGGCCACAAAGTAGCGGTATGGATGCTTTCTTACCTTTCTCTTCTCTTCTTGTCCCTTTATTCTTCACTTCACTCAAATATGTTTGAGTGAATTGGACAGGGAAGAGCACTCTATTGAATAATTTGTTCAAGACAAACTTTAGAGAGATGGATGCGTTTAAAGGAAGGCATGTCCTTTTGACACTGTTACTTTGATGTTCGTTGTCTTTAATATTTCTACCGTTCACCTTCTGAACTCTAGATGGTTTTTAGGTCTCAAACTACAAAAGGCATTTGGATGGCACACTGTACGGGAATTGAACCATGTACACTGGTAATGGATCTGGAAGGAACAGATGGAAGAGAACGCGGAGAGGTGCATTTCCTTATCAATTAGCAATCAAGTCATATTTTTCAGCTTAGTTTAAATAAAGTCACATATTTTGTTTGAAGTTAGAATGGGGACGGTTGCAATGCATAAGGTTTCCTGCAAATTTAGCATCTCCCACTATAAGAAGAAATTTGTTGACCATGTTGCTGTTTAATTAGGATGATACAGCGTTCGAAAAGCAGAGTGCACTCTTTGCCCTTGCTGTTTCTGACATAGTTTTGATTAACATGTAAGATTTCTTTCTTACATTTGTTACAATACCAGAATAATGAGTTGTTGGCTATAATTCTGGAAATAATTTTTCTAGTTACGTTACTTAGGTGGTGTCACGATATTGGTCGTGAACAAGCTGCAAATAAGCCTCTTTTGAAGACTGTATTCCAGGTATTCCTTGTCCTTGTTGGTGTTGTTGGCCTTTGGTAGATCTCATCTCATCATGCGCTAGTACTTTGTTTGGGTTTTTAGGTCATGATGCGATTGTTTAGTCCTCGAAAAACAACTTTGATGTTTGTAATCCGTGATAAAACCAAGGTACGTTTGGTCCTACTGGCTTCTTGATTCGGTTTTTTCTTGCATGTATAAGATATATACTTGCTTTTCTTGTCTGGTAGACACCTTTGGAGAATTTAGAACCTGTTTTGAGAGAAGATATCCAAAAGGTAAAGATGTTACTTCATGTTTCACCTTTTTATATATAATTTAATTTAATTTCATGTGGGCTAGGATAGCCTCGCTGACACTAAGCATCCCCCTTTACTTGCAGATATGGGACTCTGTTCCAAAGCCACAAGCTCATGTGTCAACTCCGCTTGGTGAATTTTTTAATGTAAACCCACACTTTGTATTCTACTAAAATCATTCACAAATGCACAATCTCCCATGTAAGCATGTTTTTTATTTCTTGCATTGGTCAGGTTGAGGTAGTCGCTCTTTCAAGTTATGAAGAAAAGGAAGAGCAATTTAGAGAGCAGGTAGGGGAAAAGTGGCATTCCTTGTTATCTGGATGGAAACTTGTTTAGTTGGTCACGTTTATTTATGTGATGGATGATGTTGGTGGAAAAAGGTTGCAAACTTGAGGCAAAGATTCTTCCATTCCATAGTGCCGGGTGGACTTGCTGGTGATCGACGAGGTGTAGTTCCTGCCTCAGGTTTCTCTTTTAGTTCACAGCAAATATGGAAAGTTATTAAGGATAACAAAGACCTTGATCTTCCTGCGCACAAGGTACTATCTATCTCTCTTTATTCATCGTCAACCAACTTGTTTCTTTGTGATTTCTTTTGCATAAGGAAATACTTCTTCTAGGTTATGGTTGCTACTGTGCGTTGTGAAGAAATTGCGAATGAGAAGTATGCCGAATTCGGTGAAAATAAGGTAGTAACAGTTTTTGCATCTTTATCCAAGCCTTTTTTTTTGGAAAAAATTTATAGAGTTGTAGACTTACCTTCTTACGTCAAATTGATGTTTGATACTGGAAGGAATGGTGTGAAATAGATGAGGCCGTACAAACTGATTTTCTTCCAGGCTTTGGGAAGAAGCTTAGCTCAATTCTCAACATTTGTCTAACAGAGTAAGTGTGTTTGCAGAAGTATGTTCTTCTTTTACTTGTTTGTGTGCTAAATTCGACAAAAAGAAAAGGGTACGGACTTGGTGAATGCATGTCTGAGAATTATTTGTTAGTCTGTGTCTTTTGTATTATATTTGTTTGACGATGTTTGAGAGTAGTGATTTGTTGTTTTGATTGTGGGTTCCAACATATAGGTATGATAGTGAAGCAACATACTTCGATGAAGGAGTTCGATCTGCAAAGCGGAAGCAACTTGAAGAAAAACTATTACAAGTAAACTTTCACTTAATTTTATTTGTTTGATGCATTAGGGTTGTACTTTATGACTTGACTAAAACTCATTACACGGATAGTTCAAATTAAATTGATTTCATCGTATGATACTAATTTAAACTTCATTGATCCACTACAAAAAATGAACCCACTCAAAATGACTTGTAAGCTATACCTGAAAAGACACATGTTCTTGAGTGATCTTGCTCATTGTAAATATCAAAATCCATGAAAATGACCCAAGATGATCCAACTTGACTAGTTTGTTAGGAAGGCTAAGAAGAGAACATGAGTGTGAGTAAATCTTAGAATATGGTTTCTAATTTCATTTATTATTATTATAATGATGATGTAGCTGGTGCAACCAGCATACCAAACCATATTGGGACATTTAAGGTCTGGAACCTTTGAGAAATTCAAGGACGCATTTGAAAAAGCACTCAATGCAGGAGAAGGATTCTCACTAGCGGCAACTACTTGTGCTGAGTCATTCTTGGCTCAATTTGATGAAGGATGCGTAGGTACTACTAGACCCTATCTGCTGATTATTATGTCATTGATTTCGGGAGCTTCAGGCAATGAATAAACACATATTTCCCCACTGCAGATGCTGTTATTAATCAAGCGAATTGGGATGCATCCAAAGTTAAGGAAAAGCTTAAACGTGACATTGATACACACATCACTACTGTTCGGGCTGCGAAATTGTCTGAGCTTACATCAAAATTTGAGGTATCGTTAGTTCACTACTTATTGTTAGGTACTATGACATGTTCAAGAGTAGTGCAGTCAAAAATCGCGTTTTAAAACTTAAAAGCTTACGGTTTTACGCTTCTAGGTAATCAAAACGCTTTTGTTTCCATATAAAATCTTTAGTGTATAAAATCGGGCTAAATTGCGCTTTTAAAGCTTAAAACCTTACGCTTTTACACTTCTAGATCACCAAAACGCTTTACGCTTCTAGTTCACTAAATGGGTATTCTATTCATGAAATTAATTATAGAAGTATATTTTAAAGGTAAATCACCCCTAATATGATATATTTGAGAGTAAAAGATACATACCAGTAGGAGTGGGAAACGGGTACCCAATCCCATTTGGAGACTAAAGTTCATCCCATATCCCAAACCCGAACAGATAACGGGTACCCGGGGACGGGTTTGGGTATACACAAATACCCGTTTTCCGTTGCCACCCCTACATACTAGGTATTTGGATGCATTTTTAGTTTTAATAGAGTAATCTAATTCACTAGCTTGGTCTTTCCCCAAATTTATTAGCAAAGAGAGAAAGGTGACTTATTGTTAAGATCTATGTTTATGAACTTATTGTTAAGATGTTATGAGTTGCTCTACTTTATAAATGAATTGCAGGTATTTATTAACTTATTTAAATTTTTTGCACTCATATTTAACATAGTATATGTTGTATTTAACACATTTTTAGTTATTTTACAGTATGGGTAAAAAACTTACACTTTTACACTTTGATTCTATGCTTTACAATTTCACTCCTTTTTCCTCTTCTAGGTAGAATCACGCTTTTGACTGCATTGTTCAAAAATACAATGAGGATAATTGAACTTTGCATCTTTTTATTTTTATTTTTGAATATTGTAGAAAAAACTCGACCATGCATTATCAGCACCGGTGGAAGTTCTGTTAGATGGAGCTAATCATGAGACTTGGTCATCAATAAGGAAGCTTCTGAAACGTGAGTCTGATTCAGCTGTTTCTGAAATGTCCTGTGATCTCAAAGGCTTTGACATGGACCAAAACGCCAGAGAAGATATGCTTAACAAACTACAAAACCATGCAAAAGGTGTTGTGGAAGCCAAAGCAAAAGAAGAAGCTGCAAGGGTCATTATTAGGATGAAAGACAGGTTGGTTGACAATCTTGAAAGCAGTTCAATCCTTTCTTATTTTGGTGTTATATATAAATTAAAATTTCCACCATAATGGTAATTAATTAATATCAATTGCTTTCTTTACTTTACACAGGTTTTCGATGTTATTTAGTCATGATTCTGATTCCATGCCTCGAGTTTGGACTGGAAATGAAGACATTCGAGCAATTACCAAAACCGCTCGCTTTGCTGTAAGAGTTAGCTAGCTATATTTTGTTATTATAGATATTGAACATGACATGAATCGTTCCCCTAGTCTCTTCTGCTGAATTGAATTCTATTGTATTCTTTTGATGTTTTTGCTAGTCTGTGAAGTTGTTATCTGTGATGGCTGCAATCCGGTTAGATAACAATCCTGATACCATCGAGAAAACACTATGCTCTTGTTTGTTGGAACAAACGAGCGCTCATGTTGTAACCGACAAAAGCACCACCACAATGGCTGACCCATTGGCCTCAAGCACTTGGGAAGAGGTACACTTTTTAACATCTTAACTTATCATCTCATGTCCCTAGAATGACTGCATGATTAACTTTTTATTTTGTTTGTTTGACCATAGATTCCATCATCAAGGACATTGATTACACCAGTCCAGTGTAAATCTTTGTGGAGGCAATTCAAGGCAGAAACAGAATATAGTGTGACCCAGGCTATTTCTGCCCAGGCATGAACTTCTTTGTCTCTACCATAGCATAATGCATGTATAATCTTTTAAATCTCTTCACAAGGGCAAGGCTTAAGACCAATCTTAATGCATTTTACTGCCAATTTACAGGAAGCAAACAAACGTAATAACAATTGGTTACCACCTCCATGGGCTATTGTAGCCTTGCTTATTCTAGGATTTAATGAGTTTATGACACTTTTGAGGTACCTTTTTCTCCACTTTTCCATCTAGCTCTTTATTATCATTATTATTTATTTTCATGTTAACTAACCTTTCCTTATGTTTGCTCTCATGATGATCGATTATAGAAATCCATTTTACATGGCTTTCATATTTGTCGCTTTTCTGGTTCTGAAAGCCTTATGGGTGCAGATGGATGTTGCTGGTGAATTCCAACATGGTGCTGTAAGTATCACGCTCTCACCTACTTCTCAAGCTCAGTATTTGCTTGCTACTTTCTCCTCGAGTAGCATTAAATACTGACATTAGAGTAATTGAAGCATAATGCAATTTTATCTAAAACAAGTTAAGAATAATGCCCTTTTGAAATCTTCATTAACTTGTAGTATCTTTGTTAATCTCTAGCTCCCTGCTCTTATTGCCTTGTCTGCCAAGTTCCTTCCAACCGTAATGAATATTGTGAGAAGACTAGCAGAGGAAGGCCAAAAAGCAGCAGCACAAGCTGCTGCTAATAATCCACCCGGAGGAGACCCAACAAAGAACTACGAGAGTGAAGCTAATACGACCATGTCATCAACCAGTTCATCTGACATAAGGTCATCTAGAAATGAGGTTGAATACTCGAGTGTCTCATCGAAAGAAGACTAATGAGAACTTCATTGGAGTTGTCTGCTCATTGCAGGCATTACTAAGAAGGTATATAACAACTATCTGGAATTGTTGCTCCAAATTTCAAAGTGTTTTTTTCTTTCTTTAGTGTTAGTGGTACACATATTTGTATAGGCCTCTTTTAGGTTTTAATTTATTTCATTTCTAATGTCTCATCTTAGAGCTAATTATTATGTGGATGACTAATATAAATATATATCTCTTAAATCTTGTCAAAATATGATGCCATCCTACTTCTGCACGCATTTAAAGTTGTCGTTGGGCCAATCACAAAGCGCAACAAAATTGCTTAGTGACAACGGTTAAACAAAACTAGGACAAACTTTTCAATGAGAGGGAAATAATAACTAGAGAAAACAAAAATTAAATTATAGGGTTAATACCATTTTATACCCTTATATTGTTGCAAATTAGCAAAATACTGCCCTATTATTTTCTTTTTCACAAACATATCATTCTATTATTAAAATGTAACCTTTAATAAAAAATTGTGTTCACAGATCATTTGAGGGTATAGAAAATGAACAAATTTTACCCTTGTATTAAATAATGTTTTCACTTTGTTGAATAATTTTTTTTACATTCCCCCCAACAAGAACGATGGTGACTCTGGAAATGTGGATGTTGATGTTTGGAGAGTTTATGAAAACCATAGATTAATAATTTCAAAGGATTTGCAATTGTTCTTCGTCTTCGATTCTGACTCACTTGCATTATAGTACCTAAACGTTTAAAACTAGGTCCAATGTTTTAGTATGAGAAATTTTATATCACTAATTGTTGCTATGACTCACAGGCAAAAAGCAACCCAACCCTACTCGACCCTTACAGGTCAATAGATGAATCGATTATAAACTAATCAAGCCCGACCCTGGCGGGTGGGGGCAGATTGATGGGTCTCTAGGACCAAACTTACACCCCTAGCATAATGGCACATTTGTTAACTTGCAATAGTAGAGGAGTACAAAATACTATTAATTGTAAAATATATTTTTATCGGTAACTTAAAATATATATAATTACAAAGCAAATAAAAAAAGAGAAGTCGTGCTCTCTCCGTTGAAGAAATAGCAAAAGAGGCCCCTACTAAAGTTTCTATGGCATTTTCTCGAGGGGATTCGATGTCAAATTGATGACCAGTTATGAAAATTTTTATCGTAACTCCTCTTAAGGAAGGATGTAATTGTTCCATGTATCAATTAAAATGAGTCTTCCTGCAATGGAGATCATGAGTCAGACTAAAGTGTCGATGAAATTGCTATAAGACATGCAGATAAAATATCTTCGATCGGGATTATCTTCACTAATACATGCAAATCCTAAAATTAGTAAGGTTTTCTTAGAATCAGGAGAGTGTCCATAGTATAGTTGACTCACTGATCAATTCAATGCGTGCAAGTTTTCATATAGTGGCAATCAAGGTCGTATTCACTCGGGTATCCGTACACTAGCCTACTTCCCAAGTTGTTGTTATCTAGGCGATCAGTTTAAGGGTTTGTGATGGAGGATTCAAGCGGAATACTAGTAGAGAGAAAAAATAAAGATAAAAGCAAGTACTTCGGGGAACTATCCCTCACCCTAGCCTCGGTCTATTATGCACTGTCTAGATAAATAGGATTTTTCTGATGTGGTGAGTGAGCTCTTTCCCATGGGCTTTCATGGTTATCCACACGCCTTCGAGTACGAATCCCCTAAACTCATGCCAATCACCTCGATCTAGGCTATCATATATGGGTCATTAAGCACATTGCTCCTTCAAAAGGGTACTACCCATCATCCACATCGAGGTTTTATCTCGGGTTGTATCTAGGACAACATTCCTATGGCAGGGTTACGGTCGCCTTGTTCACCATAGGATCCTATTCATACATCTAAGCTCAATTTGTTTGATGATGCATACCCGTCTAAGTCTAAAACTCCATACCTAGCGTAGAAGCTCAAGTAGGCTAGTAGAGAAGATTAGGGAGACTTACCCAAACACAATCAAAGCTAGAGACACAATGAAATCAACTAGATAAACACATTCATTCATTAAAACCCTATCCATTCATTACATAGTAACCCTAGAAATATGGTTTGGGGTTTAGAACCCCCAGTACCTTAGAGGACTACTCCATAAAGGAGGGAAGAAGATACATAGAAGAAATTGAGGAAGACTTGATGTTGAGTAAGATGACTCCTCTCTTCCAGCTCCTCCTTCTTCTTCTCTTCTCCTTCTTTGAACTTCTCTCTCTTCTTTCTCTCTCTTGAATGGAGGAAGGGGGTCTTCTATTTATAGCCTTAAGAGGACGGAGAAGTTTGTGGCCGGATAGCAGGAAGATTGCGGCCGCGATCTTCCACCTTGAGGCCGTTATCTGTCGACGCTACCGTTTTGGCCTTCAGGCACGAGGAGGTCGCAGGCTGACTTCACGGTCTCGATTCATGAAGTGCAGATGCGAACTTCCTCGCGGTCAATATGAACTATGGCCATGAACGGACTGGGGAAAATCTCTATTTCTCCTCGCTTGCTTCTTCATGAAGTTCGCACCCTCAGCCTCCAAGATCGCGGTCACGATCCTAGGTCCTTAGGCCGTGATTTTTGCCTTGAGTTCTCCGTCTTTGTTCTTGGCCGTGATCTCCACCTCTAGGCCACGATCATCAGCATTCTATCCCTTTTTCTACACTTTTGTCCTTTTTTGTACCTAATTCGCATGTATTGTCTAAAGCAACCTAAAATCACTTCATAATAAAAAAAGGAACGAAATAGGGATGCAATTGACGCTATTCAAATGATTATGCACATGAATTGACATGAAATAAACCTCAATATGAAGGGTAATAACACCAATTTAGGTGTTATCAAACTCCCCCACACTTAGGCATTTGCTTGTCCCTAAGCAAATCTACTCAATTCAATGCAACTTGATAAACAAATAAAGGTGGGATGCACTCTAGTTCTTTGTTGCATAAAGAAGAGTGGATGGAGACGAGAAAATGTTACTATCATCTTACTGTGCACGCACAAACTCTTGTGTGGGGACCATACTTACTACCTTAGCCCAAACTTTCAAGGCGTGCACCGGGGGATTTCTCAATCATCAAATGAGCACAAAAAATCTTGGGAGTGCTCTTTATTCTTTATTTTGATTTAGGAGTTTCCGTTTATTGGTCTCCTTTTTCTACGTTGACGCGTATTGCTCCAAAATTTTGCAAGTTTTCTTGCAAGCAAGCATCTTTCCCTCATGACCATCAACGGATGGATCATTGCCTTCCCTTTCAAGGTCACATGTGGGGAAGTTGATGGGCGGATTCGTCTTAGCCTGGGCACCACTTCCTAGCCTCCTGATTCGGGTCCAATGGTACACATTTTCCCCCTCGTATCTTGATCGTTTGGCTTTACATTTCATCATACCTCTAAATATTTCACGCTAGGTTGTGCTTGTTTTGATACATTTAAGGTCCTAGCACACGTGGAAGGGTCGAGGACGATTTTTGGGACGATTGGAGATCGAAAAGCGCAAAGAGACCGAAAAAAAGTCCAAAGTACCTTGACAATGTCCCCGTAACAGTGAAGCGCAGACGTCTAAGAATCAGCTGTAGTTCACAGCCTGGCATTGGAGTTCACAACCTCTAAGGCCGTGAACTGGAACCACAACCTGTGAACCGCGAGATGTCTCTGGAGAAATCTGTCGTTACTGGTGCAATGCGAGTTCACGGTCAACAAGACCGTGAACATTGAGTGCAAACCGTGAACCTTGGAGAGTGAAAGCGGTGCATTTTGGAGACAACATTGTTAACGGCCGTGAACTGGCCAACCCTGCCATGAACTGGGCACTTTCGGGCAAATATAAAAATAGCAGCAGAAGGAAGAAAAGGGAGAGCTGGTTTTTGGAGAAGGAACACTTTCTTTCTCTAGGGTTTCAACCCAAAACACTAAAGGGGAGTTCTAGTGAGAAAGAGAGTGATATTGGAGCTTTATTGAAGGCATTGATCAAGCTTGGAAGCTAGGAATCAAGCCTAGAAGAAGAAGAAGATCTAGAGGTTTCTTTGCAATCTCTCCTCCCTCTCTCTAGAAACTCACCCTCTTCTCTTGGGATTAAGAACACTAGGTATAGATTTTGGTTTGTTGTTGATGTATGTGACAACTTACTAGTTTGATTGATGATTTTATCTAATTGATGGATATTTTAATGGATGGCATGAGTTTTGATTTCATTTTCATGTCTTAAGCTTTTGACCTAGGAGGGAGATAATCCCCTTAGAGCCCATTATTGGCGTCTACAGGTTACTCCTATCGTATATTGTCTGGGTAGTCTCTGAGAGAGTTGATTCCATTGGTCTCCTTGCAATATATGAAACCTTAGGCTGAAGTTGCCCTACATTAACCTAACTAGGAGGCAACGAATTATCCAAGAAAACCCAGCATTTAAGCCTCTTTCAAAGAAAGGAGGGGGGGGGGGTTCTCTCTACCGAGGTTAGAATGGCAATTAGATTGATAGGCTTTCACACAACGCAATCATTCATGAATAATACCTCCACATTCACATTAAACACAACCACACACAAAATCATTCAATTCATACAAGCATTCACATAATTGTAGCTAGGGTTTACAAACACCCAAGTGAAAGAAGGGACTACTCCATGCTAGGAGAAGGGAAAACACTAGAGAGGGATATGAAAACCCTCAAGAAGATGCAAGCCTTGCTCCTTGTGTTGAAGGGATCCTCCTTTGGGGGAGGAATTTCCAAATCCTTACTTGGAGATGAAACCCTAGCTTCTCATCTTCTTTGGTTCGCCACTTTCTCACTCTAAAATATGAAGAAGAAGAAGTTTCTCACACTAGGTCTCTTTTTTCTTCTCCCTTTCAGCTAGCTCTTTATACTGAGTTCGAGCCAAGTTCACGGCCTGAGTTCACAGCCATGAACATCAAAACGCGTTTGTGAACACAACGTGCTGGATAAAAATGCACCGTTTCACTTCCTGGGTTCACTGTTTGTGGTTGCAGTTCACGGTCTTAGCGATCGTGAACAACCTTGGAGTCAGTAACCTCAAAACCCTCTCTAGACGCTCCATGGTTCACGGATTATGGTTCCTTAGTTATTTCCTTAATCCATAGACCCCAACACTAGGGACCACCGCGTTACGTCTCGTCGTACGGTGTCCCTACCCTAGTATGCCAACCGCGTTACGTCTCGTTGTCCGGTT